ACTGTCAACGCATGGAGATTTGGAAGGAGGACGTGATCATTGAAAAGCGTCGCCAAGACCCACAAATCTGTAGCCAATGTAGTGAGGTTTGGTAACGAAATACTAGCAGATATGGCACCCCCAGATATCAAAAGTGAAGATTTGGTTTCTATAGTCACTGAAGCAGAGGAAGTTGCCTCGATAAATTCAACCAGATCATGGTTGTCAATGTGTGATTGAGCAATTCGAAGAGATCTGACATTTAAGACCTTTGGACTGCCCTCGATGTATGGTCGTACATTCTTACATATGATATTTTCGATCTTCTGGATTGCGGTATAATTGAGGCCTGCAGTAGTTACTTTACGGTCAGGCTTTGCAATACTGAAGAGCACCAAGTACTCGGCGTTGGGCTGAACCTCATGCATCATGAGTTCGGTTTCCGAGTCCGTTGGAGATATATAAAGGTCCAGAGACTTGAAAAAAGGTATCCGATCTAATAAATTTGAAAGTTGAAACTCGCTCTTGTTGGCAGTGTTGCCCCAATGAACCGTGTACATAATTGGCGGATAGAGTTTGAGACGCTCCATAGTGTAAACCACTCTACTATATTGCGCCGAGGGGAGCAGCCCGCAATGGGGGATTGGAACATAACACCAGAGAGACGGTTGGTTCACAACGAGTCCTCGCCACCTTCGACTCACCCACGTGAGTTTCAAGGTAGTAAAGGGGGGTTATTCTTCTCTTTTCCCTCTCATATAGTGATTCTCGTCCTCATTGATCCTCTCTTCAAAGATTTGCAGCCATAACTCGTCCGGGACTCGACGGGATGCTCTGATTAACCCCTTCATACGCTTTATTTGGTCCTTAGTCTCTTCGCGTAAATTGATGAGACTCGACAGTGCTTGTTCGGCACAAGATAGTAAAGTTTCATTTACGTCTATATCCTCTTCAGCTTGTGCAACTTGTATGAAGGCTTCCTTCAGAGTAGATTGGGCCAGTCGCTGATGGGCTTCATGAGACTCTCTGAATTTCTTGCCAATTGCATGGATTTGAGACTGGGAAGGATGGGGAGTGCATGAATGGGGATCCCCCTCTTTGTCCAAACTTTTCCAAACTTGGTCAAACTGCCCATTTTCAACCGAGGAGAGCGTCAATTCAGCGCTGGATTGAACCACTTTGGCTATTTGGAGCAATGGATTCAACTCCTTTAATGTAGCATGGTACCCATCTGCTTCGGCCCGAACAGTGTCTATCTCGGCGTTCAGGTCGGCCAACCTTTTCTCCGAGGCCCGTATCATACGATGAAGCGCCTCAAGTTCTTTCATCGTCGGCACACGATTCTTGGCCATGTTTAGATGATTCTTGATGGACGCTGCAAATCTGTCACTTTGTCAATACTGTGCCACACACAGAACCTCCCACATACCTGTCCGATGATGGTTTTATGAGGAATCAGGGCTGCTGATAAGGAAGCCTTGTTTCGTTTGTGGGTAGTTCGGAACCAAGAGTGGAGTAAACAAGTCAACATTCGACGCTATCTGATGGATTACCCCCGCACAGCCTTACCAAGCCCAGGAGCATGGCAATTTATTCGGCGGTGATGGTGAGGAAATACATTGAACGTGGCGACTAGACAATATTACCACAATATAAATGGGACGATCTTCTGTAAATGAAGCGGCGCTTATTCCGAGGTGTATATGCCAATTCTTCG